TCACACACACACACACACACAAGCCCACACTCACACACACACGCTCACACATACATTCACACCCACACGCAAATGCACACTACATATGCGCGTGCACATGCGCGCCCACCTCCGCCTGAAGTTCCGGCTGCATCCCGCACTCCGCCTCCTCGAGCCCCTTGGACAGCGTCCCCAGCGCCCACACCACGCCGCTCGCGGCGTCGGGCGTCAGTGCGCCCACGTCGCCACTGTTGAGGCGCCGCAGCAGCAGGCACGCCAGTTGGGGTGCCAAATCTGCCTCAGTCTGCGAGGCGGGAGGCCGTGAGGTCATGACCGCGGAGTTTGCTTTGCAAAGAGGGGTGTCACTGGCACGGGAAGCGCAAATACAAGCAGGGCTGCAGCAGCGCCTGTTGGGGTCTACAAGCAGGGATGCGTGCAACGAGCAGGTGGCTGCCCGGGACGCACAAAGATGGCAGGCGTGTGCGTGCTCTTCAGCTGCATCAGCGCACGCATCTGCGCTCGTTACTCACGCAACGCCCACCTGCACCAGCGCCCGCAGCAGCGTCGCCACCTGCGGCTGGGCCAGGCCCCCCGCGCTCATTACCGCCTCACGAGCCAGCAGCGCCAGCGCTTCGCAGCTGCGCCACCGCGCCCGCGCCGCCGCAGCGTCGTCAACGGGCGCGCGGCTTGCGCCCTCGGCCTCCCCTTCGGCATCGTCGGCCCCTTCGCTGCTGCCGTCCTCGCCGGCGCCGGTGCCGGCGCCGACGCCGGCCCCCCTGCTACTGCTGCTGCCGCCACTGCTGCCGCTGCTGCTGCTGCCGAGCGGCAGCCGCCTGTACAGGCGCGCCCAACTCAGCATCGCCTGGAGCTTCTGCGGCGTGGTCAAGCGGCCCAGGTGCTGCCCTATCAGCTCGGACAGCTCCTCAAGGGACCACACGTGCCGCAGCCGCTTCCCAACGTCCGTCCGCCCCCCGCCGCCGCCGGCCCCTCTGCGCCCACGGGCGGGCGCCGCCGGCCCCGCCGCCGCTGCGCCGCCGTCGTCGCCCCAGGGGCCGCCGGCCGCACCGGCGACGGCGCTGCCGAGGCCACCGTCGGCATAGGCGGCGTCGGCGTCGGCATCCGCGTCGCCGTCGTCGAAAGCGCCCGCAGCTGGGTCGTAAATGCTGTCGGGGTTCGCGCGGGCCGCGCCCGCGCCGACCTCCGGCGCGCCGCCCTCCGCCTCTGCCCCGCCGCCGATGTCCCGCCCGCGCTGCCGCTGCTCTTCGAGCTGCTGCTCCTCAAGCTGCCTCAGCATGTCTGCAAACTTCCTCGCCCGCGCGCCGCCGCCCCGACCTGGTGCTGACTCAGCGTCGTCCCCAGCGTCCGCCTCGTCATCCACGTCCTCCGCCTCTGCGTCGATGACGTCATCATCATCATCATCCTCCTCCACGGACGCCCAGGGGTCTGCTGCGCGCCAGCCCGGCGTGCCGCCGCCATCGCGCCCCGCCGCGCCGCCCTTTGCTGCTTCTGTGCTGTCGTCCTCCTCGTCATCGCTGCCCGCCATCCAATCGCCAAAGATGTCGCGCACATCTGCCGCGTCGGCCGCGTCCCACCCCGCCGACCGCTCATCCTCATCCTCATTGTCATCCTCATCCTCATCCTCATCCCCCTCCTCTGCCTCGTCAACCTCTCCATCACCAAATAAGGCCTTTGCGATCGCTGATTGAGGGCCCCAGATGTCTGTTTCCTCGTCGTCCTCCTCCGACCCGTCGCGAGCGGCGGGTTCCGGCGCCTGCACCCCGAAAGAAGCCTTGCGCTTCCGCGCGCCTGCCTCCACCGACGGTAGCGCCGCTGGTGGCTGCTGCTGCTCCTGCTGCTGCTCCTGCTGCTGCTCCTGCTGCTGCTCCTGCTGCTGCTCCTGCTGCTGCTGCTGCTGCTGCTGCTGCCGCGGCGGCGGCTGCTGCTGCTGTAGGCGTCGCGGTGCTTGCCGTGATGACGCCTCTGTTCGCGGCGCCGCAGCGCGTGCCCCGTCATCGCCGCCGCTGCCCAGGGGCGCCTCATCCCGATCGCCCTGCGTCTCCCGAGCGCCCCTGCCTGGGATCCTCCCTGAACGACCACCCACACGGCCTCTGGCGGCACTTTCGCTGCCCCTGCCGCGGCCGCGGGCGCCGCCCCTGCCGCGGCGGCCCGCGGGTTTTGCGTCTCTTTCCCAGCGGCCGCCCTGGGGTCCCGCCGACAGGTCTCCAAATGCGCTGAAGGGGTCGGCATCTTCACTGCTGCTGCCACCAAAATCAGGACCAGAGCCACCCTTTGCAGCGACAGGCTGGGCAGGCGGGCTCCGTTGACGGGTTCCCGCCAAGGGGCGGCTGGGTGCCTGCAGGCATCAACAGCGGAGGGGTTGCAAATATTCATGGCCAAACGTTTGGGGCCAAATTGCCCAAGAATAACATTGGAGAAGTGATCGGCAACTATCAAGCAGTGCTCGGCACTTACATACGGGGCCGCCAGGCCACCACCCCACAGCGTCCTCGCTGGCCTGTGTGCGGCTGGAGCGGCATGCTGATGGCACGCTGCCGCCGCCCCCGGCAGGAGCACCATAGCCACCCTGCGCTACCGCGCGTTCAGTGTAAAGCTGCACGCTTTGGCCGTTCTGAGCTTGATACTGTTGCTGCAAACTCCGTACATGTCGAGATCGCTGTGATGATCACACTCGGCGGGTTTCTTTATCGGAACATCAAATTTACTATTTTTGACGCCACTTAATATCATATGTCGCGACGTCGCCCGGTGGGTAACGCAGGCTTGATCCTGATTCCATCGGCCGCGATGGCAGCAGCAGCTGCTCGTTCGTGCCCTGCTCAAGCCGCGCTGTGCCAGCCAGCAGCGCGCCCTCTTTTGAGCCACTTCATAGAGAAATTGGCTGCAGTTTGGTATGCCCTGACAAACGTACGGCAACGGTTGCGGTCAGCGGCACGGTCGTCAACTCTGCCAGATCCACCTGCCACTCAAAAAACCAACCAAAGATGAAGCGAACAGCTCAAAAACTATGCGGGCTGAATGCAATCCAGGCGTGTGTTGTTGCATATCAGTCAGCTTGCATACTGTCGCCAGCGGCTGCAGCGGCAGCGGCAATGGTCCCCTGAGGGTGTTGACAGAGTATCAGCTGCTTTCAGCAGCAGCTGATACTGCCCCTCGTCCAGAAGCTGCACGCACGAGGCCTTGATTCAAGGGTCACTGGTCGAGAGATGAGGGGCTGCTCAGTGCGGCTGCAACTCCTGTGGGCAGCTTTGACAGGCCGAAACCGCTGTATAGTCAGTGCATGGCGGATCTTGGCAGCGGCGCTGGCTCACTGAGCACTACAGCGGCTGCCAAGGCGTTGCTCGTGGCGGGGGTGGGACAGCAGCGTGCCACTCTGCACAGGTGCAGGTACGGCACTTGCAGCCGCGCCCGTGGCAGCGGCGGAGGATGAGCCGTCAGCCCTGCACGTGCGTGCCGCATCCACGCCCCCGAGCCGCACGCATGCGATGCGCTCCCCCTGTTTACAATGCAATCTGCGGGCCTGCGATGCTTAGTGCATTTTTCTGCTCTGGGAAATGCATTCAAGCTTGTGAGTTTCAGGTGGCTCAATACCTGGTTGATCTTGTGTGTTCTTGGGAATGTTTTTTTTTTGGAACAAACGATGCTGATTTCAGTGTTTCGCAGCTAGACTCTTTGAGAGACAGCCGCCGCCCCCTACCCATTGCCTCCAAGGGTGGGCCAGGCCGGCAAGCATGCAACTTTGAGCTGTGCTGTCGTTATTTTTGCAGGTATTTCATGCTGACACTGAGTCACTTACACGAAGCATTGTGCAACACGTCGCGCGCTCTCGCTTTGACCTGTGCAGTGGTTTGTGTGTGTGAGTGTGGCGTTGTGATGGATGTTGTCAACAGGTTGGCCCCTGTTGGGACTGCGTGGATAATCATAATGTTGAAATCGTGCACAAGAAAACAATGCAGGCTATTGTTGAGCATAATGTAAGGGTGGGATACCCCACTCGCTTTGAGCACACTGCTGCTTGCCACATCTGTCGTGTGCGGTGTCTACGGTGGTGACCACTCTGGGCGCCCCACGGTAATCGAACCCTCGTCAATGCATGCATGCTACGACGGGATTTCGTCTATAATGTAAGGGGCAGGGCTCCGTGCAGTAGCTACACAGCTGAACACCGCACCACATGCCCTCAACGATTCAAACGCATTTGAATGTGCAGGGGCGCCATGCAGTATCATAATCACGTGGTTGCACTCGTCAATCAGGACCCACTGTTGTGGCAAATTTCAACTTTGAATGTTGCAGTTTTCCGATGGATACCTGCATGCCTGATCAGCGAACAAGCATCACAACGGCAGCACCGAGCAAGGGAATGCATGTCGGTCTCGAGAGCGAACAACTTCCTGTATATGACCTCAAGGCGTTGGCGGATCTGAGTGACAATGCTGCGGTAAGCGCAGGGAGCCTGAGCGGTGTGCGTGCGCGCCGTGTCGCTGCGCGGCCTGCTCGTGCTGCACCACGTGCTGCACCACGCCTGCGCCGGGTGATGCGCTGAGCAATTAAGGGTGGTGGGCAGGGGGTTGATTGGTGTACCTTTGTTTGCGTACCTATTCCTGCTTCAGGTCGCAAGCATCCCCAAAGACACGCGGCAGCTGTGCAGCGCCGTTGCCGAGTGCCTGCACAACACCGGCTGCCTCGTCGTGAGCGGCTGCAGGGGGGAGGGCGCGGCCACAGGTCGTGCATTGCCGCTTGCACCCTATCGACGACGGCCTCAGCCACGCCGTTCCCTCTGATCTCTGGCGTGGAGCCTGTCGCGGCTGCTGCGTGCCTCGCATGCCCATCAGCTGCACCTGCACGCGCCCTGCGCGGCACCAGAGGCGCACCGCGCACCGCCTTGCCGCCAGGTGCGCGTGCCCGGCGTTGATGAGCGCCTCAAAAACGAGTTCTTGGATCAGATGGAGGCCTACTTTGGGCAGCCGGATGCACTCAAGATGCGGGACGTGCGGCGGGAGCTGTCGTATCAGGTGCGTTTTGAATCCAATTGTGGGGAGCCGGCGTGGCATGTACGGGAGGGGAGGGGGTGGGATCGGGCGGTCAGGTGCGGCCCTCGCGTGGGGGTTGCTGCACGAGGCGCCTGGGCGGACGCGGATTTGCCGCACAGTGCATGTTTGGGCAGCTCGTCACGCTCGGCAAGCGCGACCGTCAGCCGTCCAACAGGGCAGGTGGGAGAGACGCAGGCGGACCGGCTGCGGGCTCGGTGGGCAGCGCAGGTCGAAACGGGGGGCGCGCAGTTAGCGGTCGCGGCCCCTCACGTCACTGCCACAGGTCGGGGCCACACCTGGCGGCACGGAGACACCGAGGTGCCTGGTGGACCCCGCTTGCGCAGACAGGATCAGGTCGCTGCCGCAAGAGCACAGCGCCTCGCCCGTCACCGGGGCAGGTGGGTGGGCGAGGGGAGCCTGCGCAGGGGAGGCCGGCTGCGAGGTCGCTGACCGGCTTTCTTCTTTCGTGGTGGCCCCCTAGTTGAAGGCTTGAGTGCCAGTCAAGGGGCCGCGCCGAGTTATAGGTGATATTCTGGTAGCAACACCTGCACAAACAGCACCCTTGATCACGGCATCGCCGCCCCCTTGTGTCGCCAACACCTCACCTGCGGCCTCACCCTCCCCCCTCAGATGCCAAGTGGCGCTTCTTCTGGCGTGTGGGCGCGCGGCCACGGGACTCTGAATATGCAGAGCTGAACGCGGAACCTGTGGTGCCTGAGGTGGGTGACGGGGTGGAAGCTGGCCTGTCACTCGACTTGGCCGGCTCAGGGGCGGGCCCCTGCCATGCAAGGATGGTACGGCTTCCCTTGCATACGCCTGTGCAGCAGAGGCTGGCAGCTGTAGGCGGTTGGCTGCACGGCACCATGTGCAGCCTCCTGGTGATGGCTCGATTGGCAGTGGCCCACTTCAGAAGTTGTCTGGTTGAATGCATGAATGGCGGCTGGTGGCTGTTCCCTCGCCGCACACACAGCCCGGACGTCGCGTCCACCGGCTCCCCAGGGCTTTCCACAGTGGGCAGCGGTGATGGACACATGGGGCGAAGCGATGATGGGCGCAGTGCGGCTGGTGGCGCGCGCAGCGGCGGTGGGCTTTGGGCTGGAGCCCAACTCCCTGACGTCACTCATGGATGAGGGCCCACACCTGCTGGCGCCGACTGGCAGCGACCTGGGGCAGCACCGGCAGCTGGGGACCGTGCTGGCAGGTAAGGGGCCGGGTGGGGTCACTGGAGCGTGCATGAGTGCGCAGCCAGGCAGGCATGCTAAGCGCTTGCCTGCACCAAGCGGTGGGTCCATGGTCTTGTACTCCTTCCCCTCTCCCGCTCCCGCTCCCGCTCCCCTTCCCCCTCTCCACCCCCATGCACGTGCAGCTCTACACTTTCTTGAATGCATTGGAAACCACTGACCAGCCCTGCTCCCTGCCATGACTGCCACCCAGGGGTCCACTACGATTTGAACATGCTCACCATACATGGCCGCAGGCAAGTGCCAAAGAAACCCCCTGTAGTAATATCCCTGCTGTACGCGGGCCTGCTGCGCTGCCCTCAGGCTCACCCGCTGTGAGCCCTCGGGCCAACTCGCTGAACCTTCGACACTCCCTCCAGCTTGTCGTGCTCTCCCTGCAAATTCACCACACCCCGCTTGTTCTAGTGCAGCATGTGTCACATATCCCCCTGAAAACAATTCCGCAACACCTCGCCTTGCAGCCGCTTCCCCGGGCTGTACGTGTGGCTGCGCGACGGCCGCCGGGTGCTGGTTCGCGTGCCACCGGGCTGCCTGCTGCTGCAAGCCGGCCGCCAGCTTGAGTGGCTGACCGGCGGCCACGTGCAGGCCGGCTGGCACGAAGTCGTCGTCGCTCCTGAGACCTTGGCCGCGGCGGAGGCAGCGGAGGCCGCCGGCCGGAGCCTCTGGCGGGTGAGCAGCACCGTGTTTGCGCACGTCGCGTCGCGCCAGGTGCTGCAGCCGCTGGGGCGGTTCGCGGAGCTGGCGGGAGCGGTTGAGGCGTACCCGCCGACGCCGGCAGGGCGGCAGGTGCAGCAGGAGCTGGACCTGATCAGCTTGGGAGCGGGCGGCAAGCCGCCTGGCGCGGCGGCGAGCGAGGCAGTGGTGGCTGCAGACGCGGCAGCGCCCGCAAGCAGCTGTGGGGCACTGTAGGTTTCGGCGTGGAGAAGTGATCCAGCTAGGTTCAATCATTTTCAGTCCATAGCTAGGAGTTGCTTTATGCCAATGATCATCATCCAATAATCCTAATCTGTTAGATTGTGAAGCTTGTCTGTGTAGCCTGATGAATGATCAGGTCTCAGCTTGCCACTGCGATGCTCACCTCTGCCGAGCAGCTGGTTTTCACACCTATTGGGTCCCACACATGTGGGCCCTTGGATCAGCAAGGGCCCGACGTTGCTAGTATAACATGTAGTAACATGCATATGCTTATGACAGGAGTTCTCTTGGCAACTGTTTGGCCCACAAGCGCATTGTTAACAAAGGTGGACAAAACGCTGTGCATGCACTGGCAAGTGCGTGGCAGTGCGGCTACTCCAAAGCAATTACCACAAACTTTGCAACCAAGGCCCACTGTACAGCATTGTCATTGTAACTGTGCAACCAAGGCCCACTGTACGGCATTGTCATTGTAATCAAAATCACAAGATGGCCCAAAAGCAGCAATTTTGAAGTTACGACGAGAGTAATTGTGTGTGGGTGGTTTGGGGCTGCTGTGGGCATAACCGAGGTACACGGGAAGGCGAGTGTACCGCCTAGCCTGGCGCAACACCATGGCGGTGCACGATTATGGGCACCGGGCTCGTCCTCAGCAGGCGACTGCAAACACTGCCCGTCCAGAACTCCTGCAAAAAGTTGGAGAGCAGGTGGCATCCTTCACCGGTAGGGTTGAGAACACCTGGAAATTCCGAGTTAACAGGCAGGCAGTCTGGAGCAAATATGAGGGTCAGAAGGCAGCGACCCTAAGCGGCCAAGACAAAACAGGGTGCTTGGAACTCACCTCAAGCCGAGGGTGCCCGCGCCCAGCTACAACGATGATCACGCCCCCAACGAGGTTGCCAGGGTCACCAGGAGGCCCTGCCAGTGCTACCGCCTCTACGCCGCCCCCTTCAGGCCCGCTGCAGCCGGTTCCAGAGGCACCCAGGCCAGCTCGCGCCCTGGCCGCCGCGGCTGCGACCGCGCCCCCCTCCTCGCCCTCTGCTGATGGCGTGCTTGAAATGCCCTGCAGCTCGCGCGCCTTGACGAGTATGACCGCCGCCACGCTGTCAGGGTTGTCCGGTGCCACGATAATATGCAGGTCTGATGGGACCTGTGGGAGAGCGGGGCAGATGGTACCAGGAGCCACAAACGGTTGATAGCTTGGTGTGCAGCAAGCTGCAAAATTGATGAGCCGGTTACCTCCGCAATCATGAGGAAGGGGCGGGCTGGCTGGCCGGGATCCTGGCAAAGCCGCTGCATTCGCGAGCCGGAGGGAGGCCCGTGGGTGATTGGCAGCAGGACAGGCCAGCGCGCGGCAGCGCTCCAGGCCGCACGTGCTTGAGGCGCAGGATGGGGGCAAATTCGGCGCGGACAAACGCCTCTGCTTCCCGGAACTGCAGGGTGCACAGCGGGCGTGGGTTGGGCAAGAACGCTGTTGAGAAGTTGGCAGCAGCCGGCATGCCCTCGAAAGTGGCCTTGGCGAGGGCATATGCAAGCACACCAGATGACATTATTCGAAAGCTTGGAGGCTGTCGGACGCACAGGCATGCAGGGTCGCATCAGCAGCACTGCAGCAAGGGCATTGTCGTGTCGGAACAGGCTGGTCCATGGGCCTGCCGTCCCTGTTATGTATTGCCAGCAGCCAGCAGGGCCACGCCCCCTGTGCTACCCCCACGCCTACCTCAGACCTCTCCGCGGCGCTGTCGGGCGGCGCGTGCACCCCAGTATGGAAGTGCAGCGTGTCGGGCTCCTTGATGACGTGCAGCAGGTGAACAAAATCACCTGGTCAAAGCAGAGGGATGCACGGGCGTAGGCGCAGCTAATTGGGCGCCTGCCTGATTGGTTTGAAGGGTGCCCGCACCGTGGGCGGTTGGCAGCTGCCCCTAGCCATGATCCGCGTGTGTGAGGGCAGCTCGTCCAGGGAACATGAGCCCTTGGTCGCCTACCTGGACGATACAGGTTGTCAACCGCCCACTCCAGCGCCATCTTGCTGCCCTGCGGCACCGTAGTGATGCGGAGCAGCGGCTCAGCTCAGTCCCAACTCTCAAATGGCCCAGCTTGGCTTGTCGCGCCTCGTCATCTGCCTGCATGCTGACCTGGCATCCGGAGCCAAGGCCTGTTCCCTGATTTTTAGCTTGATCCAGATTAATGACCTGCGAATTGTCGATGGCCACCACCAGGTGGCGGCAGAACAGCGGGACGACGTCCTCTGAGCTAGTCACGCGGCGCCGACCAGTGACGCTCTGCGCCAGTGCGCAGGACCAGGGATCGTCTGTGGCCCGGCATCCCAAATCCGCTGCCATGAATTGCTGTAATCAAGCGCGCTTTCAGGCCAGGCTGAGCCGCTGGTTCCGTTGCGTGATCTGTTGAGTTCCGGTAAGCGCGCTTCTTGACAACGCAACTTGGATTTTGTGTGTTTAAGAGGTAAAATGTCAGGTTACACGAGCCTGCGACGCCTCTTGGGTCTCTGCAAAGGGCTGGATCAATGTCAGAGCTGTAACAGGCTTCTCGATCCAAGAATACAGACTGGGACCCTTCAACGACTTTAAGCCCCTGACCCCTTCACAGGCCCAGTCACCCAGGGGCGCCTACTGGGCAGCTGCTCTACTGGCAGTGACTCCCAGCTAGGTGTCGACAGATAAGGCCCAGTCCTATCAGCCTGGGAGACTAACCCCTCAGTCTGACTAGTACTGTCCCGTGACAAGAGCGTCGCGGCAACTCTGAAACGCGCGACGTCGCGAGTTGCGCGCACAGTCAACAGCCACCATTGGCACGTGAGTTCTAGGAAGGTCAAAGGGGTCACCAACCAAGCCACTTACAGTACTTCACACGCACAGCACAGCTGTGCTGCAGCCATACTAAGCACACTTGCTGTGTTCAGTACGTATGCTTTTACGTTTGCCGGTGGGGCAGCGGGGGAACGGGCGGATGCCCTGACCCTCGCGCCCGTCCTTAATACATACTCGGCGCCCAGCGCCCGGTCCACTCTACTCTACTGTTCAGTACGTATGCTGACCCCTGACATGCTGTTGGCCCCCTCCTGCCAGGCCAAGCGCCAGTCGCAGTCACCAAGGTCAGAGACTGGGCCACAGCCCGCGCTCGACGCGAACAAGCAGGGAATAGGAACTGCTAGACGTGCCATCTAGATACCGATCTGCAAGGCTGTAGCTTGTTCCTGCCAGGTTGCAGGTTTTCATATGCTCAGGAGGCTGGAGGGTGTCGAGAGCCTCAGCCTGAGGGACATTTTGGGGACGCACACTGGAGGTGCCAACAATGTGGCAGGCACCGATGCAGCATGTAATTGCGCGGGTCAGGATTGACAAGGGAAATATGATTTTGTTGCCAGCTGGGAGCAAACAGGGCTTCCTGCATTGTCTGCAAGGCTTCTTTGGGGGATGGCCAGGGCGCGACAAAATGGCCACAGCATGTGACAAGTCAGGGCTTCTGACCTCTCAAGCACTGCTTCAACCATCGCTGACGGCGACCTGATCCATGTGCCCACATGCACCTTCTGCCATGCGGACCGCCCAACCCCCTGCCTCATCGGCCCCTTTGTGCCAGATTCAACGCCACAA